AGCGGTTATTTTTAATTTACTCTTTTAAAAGTCAGTATAAAAAAGAGAATGGGGACATCTAGCTAAGGCATTACATGCAGAGCCCCGCTTGTTAAAGAGAGTCTCAGAATTACTTTGAAGAATCAAAGATCTTACTACCTTGCATTAATTCTAAAGTTCAAAAGCTTTTCCAGAAATCTCTTAACAATGAGTTTTCAGTATCATTGAAATAGTTTATAATCCCAGATTTTCCTTGCTTTCGTTTGAGGTTATAAGCAATGGAAACTATCTTGAAAATAAGAAAGTTCTGAGCACAAACATAAAATTCTGTTTGTGATACTTCAAATCTGTGTACTTATATCTGGCAATATGCCAGTGTTTTTACTATAAAACTAGAAACTATGGAAATGTTATCAAATTATAACAGAGTTGAAATTTATAGCTAGATTACAACCTGCTTAATTTAAGTTAATTTGAGTTTAAATGTATATAGAATTTAAATAGACAAAATCCTGTCTTCCCTGCATTCCTTAAAATCTGATATAAAGATGATTTAGTCTGTATTCTTAGTAGAGAATTCTGCACATTTTAAATCATCTGTTTCTAAAAAGGGTAAAATTCCAGTATAATTTAGAGTCACAGAAACTATAATTTAAGAGCACCAGAATCAAATTTAATCACAGATTGAAAATAAATGCAGATCAGAAGGGTATGTGGATTGGAAACAATGCACTGGTTTGTCTTCTATGAAATAGTCCATAAAGGATGCTGCAAGAGTCTTTTTCAAGATGAAGGAAAGGTAATTTAGGCACAAGTTCCATCCCAGGTGTTTTGGGTTAAGCAGTCAATTACTGTGGGTTTACAGGAGGAAAAAAACTGGAATTTATGCAAACATCTCAGAGCGATATCAACATTTAGACTGATAAATCCTCAAATGCATGTTTTTCAAACTGTGTATTTTGCAGGGAAACTAAATGCTCATATTTGGAACCACTTATCCTTATAGTATCAACATGCCTCCAAAGAGCTGTTTTATGTCAGAGCCTCCTTTAATAACCCTATTTTTAAAGAAATAAACATTTTCAAAGTCACATTTTCCAAAAAGAATGGTCTGAAATGCAAAACCAGTAGGTTTGGGATAGATCTTTTGTTTGCCACTCTACCTTCACGATGACTGTACATTTCAAATAGTTCGTTGTGCCCTTAGGCACATGTGAATACATATCCTAACCCCCTTGCTTATACAAAGGCATGAGGGTCAGAGTGGCAGGTCTGGAAGTCTCCAATCTCCAACTTCAGTTATGGCAAAATTGAGCAAGTTAGAGCCCCAGACTCAGATATTTCCCTCTTGGTTTTTGGGTGAAAAGTGTAATCATTTCTTCGGAAGATATCATCCCAAGCCCATCTTTACTCACTCTGTAGTTAATGAAACTGAGAAATAATATCCCCATATATTTGCTGCTCAAATTGTCTCTTTTCCCCTACACACCCTGGGGCATCGTTCTGAATTTATACTTTCTGGGTTCTTTCCCGTGATGTTGTTCTGTGCTCTGTGCTTGGTGAAATAAACCTAGCAATGTTCTGGCTATGCCTAGGCATGCCTAAATCCTAAGGGGATGAAGCCTGGGCCCAAGCTCATCCCCCTTCTATTTAATATTCTTTTCATTACTCGACCCCATTTCCATTTTCACCATATATTTAATCTTTAATCCTTCTATAGCTATAGGTTTTAGTTAGAAATCAAATGTAAGGATCACCTTTGAAAAATAAAACCACAGTGATACACACCTACGTATAATTTTCCTATATCAAAATGTTTTAGGTAAGGCTTCTTTATACACTTGCAATATCTAAAGCACACTGTAAATTTAATAATAAAATTCAACATACTCAAATCAATTTTCTAAAAGACTCACTATTTTTAATACATGCAATATAGTCTTTCTGTTAACACTTTTAGCAAAAACAACAGCTCAGCCGTTCACAAAGGCTTGGTCCTCATAATCAGTACAGGTATATTGTGTCTGAAGGCACAGGAGCTCAAGACGAAGAGTGACTGAGCAAGCATTAACTTATGGAATCTTAATAGTCACCTCATTGCTGAAGTAAAACCAAAAGGAAACTTAATAATATCAAAAGTTATTTTAAAGGGAGTTCACGTTGGTTTGAAGACTACTTTGCTTCACACACAATATCTACCTTTGTAAAACCCAAGAAACCCATATTTGTAACATACACACATCTTTACAGTTTTCAGAACATAAACCTTTTAGAGCAGTATTATTTCTCCACAGATTAAAAATTACAGTATTGAAAGTCTTTAGAATGACAATAAAAGAAACTCTCTTGCAAACCCCGGCGAAACTTGGAACTTTGCATTAAGTGGTTGTTTAACTATAAAAGGGGCAGTGTGTGTTGTAATGAATGGAAAACCCACTTTACCTCTATTCCATTTGCGAACACCTTGTGGCAACCTATTTTAGTATTAGAGAGATCATATATTAAAAATGATTTCTGCGGTCATGGATGTACACAAGTAAAAATTGAGTTCCTGTTAAATTAACACTTCATTAAAAAATCAAAATAAAAGCTCAACAAATACATTTTATGTTGTACTCCAAGATAGAAAAAAATTATTTTTGAAGAACAGATCGCCAGTTATTCTATTCCACAACAGTCAAGTTTCTCAGTTCTTTTTTTTTTTTTTTCTTTCGCTGAGCTCTCTGTCACTGGAAACATCTTAAACCAATTTCAAGTGCTGCACCTGAATAAATATGTTGTAAAAGTGTTTATGTATTGAAGTGGGTCAGTTCAAGGTATGGTATTTGGCTGGAACTTCTAATTTCTCTTTTTACAGCAAAAGGGCTGCCAGAAGGAGGAAGTCTGAGCTGAATTAATACATTTGTTACAGTGGAAGTAGAATGGAAACTGCTCTGACCACAAATCAAACTGCCTCTTTCATTTATGCCAGTGATAGAGTTTTTCTAAGAAATATAGACTCTGGCAGAGTGCCACTGTAAGTTTGCATTTAAAAGAGAAACCTATATGCTTATTTGTTTAAGGTTTACTGCTTTGATTATTTGGAAGTTCTTTCTTCGGTAGGACTGGGTATAGTGGCGTTTGTAGGCAGATCCCGCCCGTTTTAATAATTGTGGGAACCAAACAAATTTTCTCCGATACGTTGTAGAACAATTGATGAGGCCATGGATGCTGCTTGGATCAGCACACACGCTTCTTTTTTTTTTTCTTTTTTTAACCAATACCTCCACATTTAAAGGACCTCTGTGTCCCTCCCAACAGCTGCACAGCCTCACATGACACGGTCTCATTTTCTGACGGTAGAAGGTCTCTGCACAATACAAGTATACACAAAAGTGTTTATGCTGCCAAAATAAATTTTGTTAAGAGCAAGAGTTTATTTGCTAAAATGCCATTGATGCCGTTTCAAGGACTTGTTTTCCTTTTCTTGCTTCTAAGGTGGGTCAGGTCTTAAAATGGACTGAGGTTACTCCACAGTCTTTACTGAATAAATATTTTAAGAAAACACGCACATCTCTCAGGGGGCAAGGCAGAGTCAATCATGCACATATTTCAAACCACATTATATATGACTCTTAAAAGATTGGTAACTTCTGTATCTAGAGTAGAAACTTTGCGTGAGTTTTTAGTAATTCTCAACTAAATTTACAACCTAAGGTTAAATAGTTCATCCTCCTTGGGTGATTTCATGGAACTAGATATCAGCCAATGAGAGATATATATATCTCAGATAAAAAATATATATAAATATATATATTTATAATATATAATATTATATAATATGAATCATAATATTATATAATATAAATATATAAAATATATGTGTATAATATAGCCACAGATATATATATATTTTTTTTAAAAATTCAGTGATTTTTTTTAATTAGAAGAACATAACTAGAGTGAATTGTAAAGAGGGGAAAATAGTAATACTTAACTTCTAGTGTATTTGTAGAACCAAATTAAATATTGCATGGCAAACACTTAGAAAAATACCTAGCACATACATAGCAAGTGCTCCAAATACCTTTGGCATTATTGTTAGTATTATTATTACTACCCAGTGGGAGAGGTTCTTTATTAACAACTACTTCTAGTCTGTAGGACACCTTGACCTCTAACGCATTGCTGTGCAGGCTCTGGTTGCAGTCATTCTCTGATACACAACCACACCAGCGGGCTCGGAAGGGTCCGGCATGCAGACTGGTTTAAAGACAAAAGTGAGTCTCCAAACTCACCTGGAACTTTTCTTTCTTAGAGTCTCTAGGCTTGGTTAACAAGTTTCAAAATCTCTTCAGTAAACATTCAGGTGTGTCCAAAACTCAGAGAAGGAGGAACTCTGAAATTGCTCTGATTACTTCAAAATACTTGGCATTGAGAAAGAACTGGAATTTAAAGCAAAACTCCATCTCCAGCAGGGCTTCTAGAATGACCTGTGATGTGAAGAGCTTTAAGTAGAGCATAGCTTTGTAAAGTTTGCTGGGCACAGGCCAGAGGTGAAGGGGAAGGCTCTCAGCACTAATTAACACTTGAAAGGCTTGAAAAAGCTGAAGAAAGTAGAAACACCCAGGCAGCCATTCAGCTTTTATCACTTAGAGGAAAATTATAGGGCATTTAATGCAGAAGAGTCCATAGCTAATATTTTTGAAATTGTTATTTAATGTGGACATTTCCAGGCTGATGGTAATCAAGCCTTTCCGTATGAAATATTGCTGACTTCCAGGTCTGAGAAGGCTGAGTTAGTGAAGGCAGCCTGAGGGCGTTCTGTGGTGAAGAATGATGCAAAATGTAAGACCCAGCATGGATAATTGTCTGTACCGGCAAACTTTCCATGTTTATAAAAATCCTTGGCCTGCAAGGAAAACATTCTGATAATGTTTTCAAAAATAATGTTCCTTTTTCAAAGCACCCTCAGAATTCATTCACGTCAGGTAAACCTTCTTTCTTTCTCGTAAACCAAGTGCTTGCGCTTTCTGTTCCAGGACGCAGTATCAATGTGAAATCCGCGGGTCTTGTGGGAAGACACGGGCCTCAGTCGAAACAACCGTTCATGGTGGCCTTCTTCAAGGCAAGCGAGGTACTCCTTCGATCCGTGAGAGCCGCTAACAAACGGAAAAATCAAAACCGCAATAAATCCAGCTCTCATCAGGACTCCTCCAGAATGTCCAGCGTTGGAGGTAAGATTAAGCCAGAGCAACGGTTGTGCACAGAGAGTTATGGGGTCATATGTTGCAAATCAAGTAGCCACAGTAAATCTACCCTCTGGATATATCTTCGTTCGGTCTATTAAATCATCTGGCAATGTTTCGAACATCCTCAGAATGTTTCATCAGTGAATCACTCAGTAATTCATTTCAAAATAAGTATGACTTGCCTTTGTATGTTGAAAGATTCAGTTCAAATTAAAATCAAGCTGGAGGTAATAAAATTATGAAATGGCTACATCAACAAAGTCTAGTCAAAACTCAACTACACAACTCCCTGAGCTGACTTCCCCGGGGCCTCTCAGACATGGATGGGCAACCAGGTAACTCAACAAAAAAAGGTTTCTTCAGTACTTAAGACGACACATGTGAAGCATGCAGTTTCCATTCTCTCTGACAATAAAAACAGCAGAGATTATATGGAAATTGAGGTACTATTTACATTTCCATTAATTATTTGGAAGACTATTATCTAGATAATCTGCTTTGTGTGTGTGTATATACATACACACCTATGTATAAAACCTAGTAACAAAATATTACAGATGCACAATGATCCCAACGTGCTTGCAATTTAATCCATCAATTGATAGAAAAGGAGATAAAAGTACAGTCGATCTGAATGAGTCCAATTGCCAAAATCTGAAGTTACAGAATCATTTTATTTATACCAGTAAGTACCTTGTTTAGTCCAGGCTGCAAACAGACTTTCATAAGCTGTTCTTAGATGAAAATGATGGCTTTTTTATTCCAAGAAATTTTCTTTATCTCTAAAAAGTAAATCTGTTTGAAGGGGAAAAGTTATCCTAGAACATCCCAACTTTGTACAATATGTTTGTTCATTTGAAAAATATGTGTTCTGTGTTAATGGCCACCATATGCAGTATACTTGCCAGGCCCAATCAATGAGCTGGTGAACAAAACAGACATGATCCCTGCATATGGTATTCAAGCAAATTAGAATGCTTTACCCTTCCCAAAAGACACATTCAGACAGTATTTGCCATTATTCCTGAAATCTTCACCCCCACCCCACTCCTGCCCCGGCTCTTGAAACTGATAAATCATACTATACTTTTTTTATTACTCAAATATGTATGAGTACTAGGTAAGAATGATTATAAATAAAACGATATACATATCTATATGTGTATGTGTGTGTATATATATATTTTGCGTACATTTTACATGCACCTGGGACTCTCAGCAAAAATACCAAATTGGAATTCATTGGAATCTTCCTAAAATATGGGCACCAGGGCAATCATGTTAGAAGTCTATTTGATATAGTTAGTAACAGAAATGAGGAAGATTTCTATATGAAATTACATTATACTGAATTACGTGCTATATATAGAGTAATATTGTAAAGCAGTTTTCCTGAACAAATAAGTTTAACTGTATTTTTCACGTGAAAGTAAAACATGATATTAGTGCCTTGTTACAAAGCTATTTTATAAAGATCTTCACAAGGTATTTAGCTTGGCAAAAAATATAATTGCTGAATATGAAAGATGGAGAAAAATAACTTTCTAAGACCTTTTCTTCCTTGTAAATACTAGCCTGTCAAAGTTGTATATTTTTCTTTTCATGTAGAATGGTTCTGAAATTGGTTGAAATGTTTTTAATTTGATGTAACAGACTGCATTAAGAAAAAGGTTTGTTAAACCATGAATAGAAGAGTGAATAATTTTTGAGGAAATTACAAAGGGAAAAGTGTAAGTCGCATACTTATTATTGGAGCGCATAAGGACTGTGGCAATGGCATTCCAGAGACTGAAATCATCAAAGCCCTTTTCCCTGTTGGTGAACTCTATTTATCTTCTCTCTCTGATCACAAGCAACAAATGTACTTCTATAACTAGAGATGAATAAAACACATGGAGCAGAAATCGTGTAACTTTTCACCAGTTTCCTAACACCATTTAGAGTACAAAATTTATTCTAATCTAGACTGATATTTTCTTTTTAAAAAGTGTGTCATTGGCAGCCATTTCTGTGAAATAGGTGGTAGATAGTTTTGGAGCATGATCATATTTTGGTACTAAGAAAGAAAGTAGCTGGTTTGTGTCTATGAGACGTAACCTTTCAATAGGTAGTAATCAAGCAGCTGGGAAAAGGTCTCCTAGGATTTGGCCTAACAGACAGGGGTTTAAGGAAAGGGAATGCTAATATAAACAAAAAATTTGATACTTAGGAAACTTGAAATGCCAGTGAAATTTTAAAATTATTCAAATATAAATAATAAATGCTGTAATAGTACCAAGCCTTTATAATAAAATACTGTTTGAAGACTACAAGGCTAAGAGAGAAGCCAGTAGGGGGGAAGAAAGTTGTATTAGATGTTTGTGTGATTACATTTTTTTCTGTATGTGCCAAATGTCAAAAGTCTCTGTTTAGGAGAATTAAAATCCAGGTCATTTTTGCTTTCTTTACCCAATTTTTTCCCTATTTCAAAGAGTTTTACCTTCCAGCTTCTCAATGATCCTTTGTTCTTCTATACTCCTATGGAAAATCTTAGAACAATGTCTAGCACAAAATAGGAAATTGTTAAATAAATTAATATATCCACTGAATGGAAAAAACGAAATTCTTCTTTCAGATGAATACGCACAGAAAGAGTGTCCCCAGATTTTCTGCAGAAACTGTCCCTCTTTGTTCCTCTTCAGATATTTGGCAAGGAGACTGAGCAAACATGTTGTGTGAAATATTGCCTCTTTCATGAGGAGGCAGCACAGTGGATGTTTATTTGAATTTGGGTAGGGAGGAAAGGAAATGGAGGTGATAGCTAATTTTTTAGTTAGCTTAAAAAGGCTTTAGGTACCTGGGTGATAAGGTCTTAAAGAACCTACTGAGAGCAAGATACTCTTCTAAGGACTATATGAGTGCTGAAAAGAATAGAGTACTAAGAATTTGGAAGAATTAATAAGACAAATGGCAAGTACTGATTTGCTGTAGAATTGCTTGCAAAGATTGCTCACTGTGTGCTGGATATTAGGGACTTTTGAAGGCGAATCCAATACTTAGTGGCCCTGCCTGACACCATGGTGATTTCTTAGGCCAAGTCTTTCCAAGAGTCATTAAAATGGAAACATTCTCTACTTACTCTCGACTCTGATAGGTAATGTCTTTTGCTTAATATAGACAATGTAAACTCATATCTCTTGGACAAACAGATGTTAATCAAAATCAGAAAGAATAATAATTATAACTACTTCTTTAGAATGTTCTATATCATATAATTAATACATATTTTCATTATTTAAAGATAATAAAATCATCAATAAAACTAAAGTTCTCTCTTGAACACCTAAATCCTTTTGTGATAGGTTACTCGGATACACTTATATCAACATAGTACCTATACTCGCAAATCTTTACCTCCATATATATATGGAGGTAAATATATATATATATATATATATATATATATATATATCTTTTGGAGAATATATTTTATTATGTGTGTTTAATCACATAAATGGTATATTGTATGTCTTTTTAAGGACTATTTTTTTGACAGACAGAGATTACAGTTAGGCAGAGAGGCAGGCAGAGAGAGAGAGAGAGGAAGGAAAGCAGGCTCCCTGCTGAGCAGAAAGCCCAATGTGGGGCTGGATCCCAGGACGCTGGGATCATGACCTGAGCTGAAGGCAGAGGCTTTAACCCACTGAGCCACCTAGGCGCCTCTTTAAGGACTATTTTTTAAAGCAATTTTAGGTTCTCAACAAGATTGAGAGGAAAGTACAAAGATTTCCCATATACCCTGTCTCACACTGCCTTGCCTCCCCCATTATCAACATTACTCATGAGAATAGTGCTTTCTTACTAAGGATGAATCACAAGGATGAATCTATAATTGTCCAAAGTGCATAGCTTACATTCGGGTTCACTCTTGATGTTTACATTCTGTGGGTTTAGACAAATATTTAATGACATGTATCCATCATTGTGGTATCTTACAGAGTACTTTCACTGCCCTCAAAACCCTCTTTCCTCTGGCTCTTCATCCCTCCCTCCTCTTAGTAACCACTGATCTTTTTATTATCCTCATAGCTTTGACTTACAGGAATATAATAGAGTTGGTTTTATGGATTTTTTTTAAACAATATATCTCAGCCATCTTTCAAATTGAGTGACCTCATTCTTTTTAACCATTGCAATATAGTCAACAGCACTTGTATCAGAGTTTATTTGGTCACGCCACTCTTAAAAGACATTTTGATTGTTTCCAAATTGGGGCTCTCAAGATGAAGGCTGAAGTGAAAATCTTACAGGTGGCACATGTGAGAATGTTTCTGATCCACTTGATTTCTATAATAATTAACACTAAAAACTGTTATTTGTGCCCTGAATCCCACAAAAGTTTTGGAAATCCCTCCTAAAACAGCAATTTTGGTGTCTATATTATCCATCTGTACATGTATTTACCTATCATCTATTTCATTTTGTCATTTAGTCCTGGGTCCACTACTTACTATTTGTATAATGTTGGGCAACATGTTACCTTTCCCTGCCTCCGTGTCTTCATCTGTAAAGTGAGAATATTTTTTTTAAAGGATTTTTATTTATTTATTTTGAGAGAGGGAGAGAGAGTGAGAGAGAGCATGAGAGGGGAGGTCAGAGGGAGAAGCAGACTCCCCATGGGACTGTGAGCCCAATGTGGGACTTGATCCCAGGACTCTGGGACCATGACCTGAGCCGAAGGCAGTTGCCTAACCAACTGAGCCACCCAGGCGCCCCTAAAGTGAGAATATTAATAGTATTTGCTCCCTAGGATGAGATTACATGAGTTGTGAGGATTAAATGAATTAATATGTGTAAAGAACTAAGAACAGTAGGGCATGTTTATTTCATGTTAGCCATTAACATTGTTACTTTTGAAATGAGTTCATGTGGTTTGGTTTTTCAGAAATGGTACATATAGAGTTTAGACTCTTACATCTGAGAAAAGTAGAACTTCTCTTCATAAA